AAAAGAACATTACACCAAAGATGAGGTAAATGTAACTAAGTCCATGAAATTCAGGGCGACTTTTACCCGTCTAGTAGTAGTAGTTATACAATATACTATATTCAACCTATTGTTAATTATGCATTAAGCACCAGTATTACAATGAGTGTCAGGTTGAATGTCCTTAATACACGGGGATGCTTTATATTTACATTTTTATATTAACATGAGTGCATCCTCCTACTTAGCTTGTTAGATGTTCCGTTTCATACGTCGCAGCAGTTTAGTATGAAGCTCACTTTACAGCCTGGCAATCTCTGCCAAGGATTCCTAAAACACTGCTTCTTGCCTGTTATTACTTGTATCCATATATGTCGACTATAGCTAAACTTTATACTTTTTCACTTTAATAAACCAAACTAAGTACGCACAGTATTGGTCCATGAACTAATATAGCAACTACTGGATGCCTACCTACGAAGTAGTATTGGTGCAAAATACATACCCACTACAACTATATGCACTACTGCTATTGCGTAAGCATATGAGCCGTCATTGGAGAAGTAGTATAGTAATAGTGCAGAGGAGAAACCTGTTCGTTTGCCTAGTCATTTCCTGAAGCGTTTACGACACCTAACAAGTGGCGGGAGGAAGGCGTAACTTGGTGCTCAAACTACTGACAGTAGCAGAAACCGCCCTAGGCAACCAACTACCCTAATCTTATTACTACACTAGTAGTGTCTGGTGATGATGACGTCTTCGAAACTGCTTTCACGACCAACGTGGATTATAACAGTGCAACTATACTCGAGTATAGTTGTATTCGGATCGTAAAAAATGAATGAAATAATTGACTTTCTCCACATACCATTTTATGCATTAAGTATTCTGAGTTTTAACTTGATCTCATATGTATATAAAGCTTTTCAGTGGTGATTGGCCCAATCCTCGAAACTTCATCGATTGCAGTTGAGTATTGGAAAGTTAGCAGGAGCCACATTATGACGTCTGTCACCAATAAAGGTTATTGATTAAGGCCAAAATAGCATACCTGGCAACGGTGAAGAATAGACACCAACTTCTGACGACCTCAAATAGCGAATCTGATTCTTCTGGGCGAAAAGGGGTACTCAATTTACAATGTAGTGTATCTACGATATATGTAATGAAAATCCAATATCGTTTTACGAGCTAGTATAAACCAATTCGATTTCTTTGTGCTTGCTTATTGATTGTAAGGTTTAGGTTCCTGATCTTCGGTAAGCTTCTGCCTAGCTCGTCCCGCCACTCGACTGTCGTAGCTTTGGTTGTCTCCAAAGAAAGTAGTGCTGGGATTAATTATATGCGGTTTGTAGTATGAGGTGTGTTAAGACTGTTACTACTGTGAATGAAGTTGATCGTTTCGCCAGTTAGTCCTCCGGTATCGTCGACAAGGGATAGTAATAATAATGATAATAATGGATATAATTAGTGCAGTTATTCAGACTAACAGACAGAAAAGGAAATAGGAAAGCATAACAACAGTCAGCTGATTAAATTTGAAGAATTATATATATATGTATTTATATATATATATATATATATATATATATATATATATATATATATCGTTAATAGTAATAATAATAATAAGTGCAGTTAGAGTTGTCAGGAGAGTAAGGCGGGAGAGGATGTAAAGAATTAAAACGACAAGTTTAATTGTCTACCTCTGAATGGTGTATGCGATTTTAAGGGGATAGGCCATTTTGATGCAGTCCTTGTATCGTTGGGAATTTATGCTGATGATGGGGACGATATGCGAAAAAAATGAGGATAAAATCTGCGATAAAAATGGGGAAATTCTGCTAATTTCGGGGAAAACCTGACTTTGCAAAAAGGGGAAAAGGGGACAATGTGAGGTACTGGGGAAAATCTTACTATCGCCCCATTTTTAATATGATTTCCCCCATTTTTGTCGAATTGGGTTGGAGTCAACCAAAGCTACGACAGTCGAGTGGCGGGACGAGCTAGGCAGAAGCTTACCGAAGATCAGGAACCTAAACCTTACAATCAATAAGCAAGCACAAAGAAATCAAATTGGTTTATACTAGCTCGTAAAAACGATATTGGAACTCTAAAGACAAGGACAACTTCGACCAATCAGAAGGCTCAGATTCAGATGATAAGAACAGAAGGCTCTTGTGGCCTGTGTTAATCCTTGCAAAATATATCTCTGCAGAGATCTAACTTCTCTTTGGAAGCGTTCACCGATGGAGCTGATACTACTGAATCAGGTAAGGAGTTCCATTCGTTGACCACTCTGTGAGAGAATCTAAATTCTGCACGTATATTAATCGTCCTCGGTGTGAGCACCTTTTTGCGGTGACACCGTAAATGTATCCTAGAAGGGGAGAAAAGGTTAGAAAGGTCAGTTCCTAAATCACCCTTAAGTATACGGTATGCTAAATTTAAGTCGCCTCTCTTCCTTCGGTATGATAACGGGAACAGATTAAAATGCTCCATCCTCTTATCATAAGGAGGGTGTGAGATACCACTAACTAATTTTGTTCCTACTCTCTGTACTCTTTCCAGAATATGTGCCGTCTTTTTGAAGCATGGACTCGCCGCTTGTATGCAGTATTCTAGATGAGGCCTGGCATATGTTGCGTAGAGTATTTGGAACATGCCCTCGTCTAATCGTTTGAAAGCCCTTCGAAGTGCGTCGGTGGCACAGTGGTTAGGACTCTCGCCAACCATGCACATGGTCCGGGGTTCGAGCCCACGCCGACGCACACCTGATATCTACGGTCGGCCTGCGAATTTTGGGCTACCGATATCCACGCTGAAAATTCCATACTTGTACCAAAAATACAGTGTGGAATCAAGCTGTAATCAAAAATAAAAATAAATAAATAATTCGTTAACGTATAATATGAATATCAAGGGGCCTGGTACAGTTTCCTAGGGCATTCCACTGGATACTGCTTTCCATCCTGATAGTACACCGTTAACTCTAACCTTCTGCCTTCTATCCATTAGGTAACCTCTAAACCACTCACATAGGCATTGGTTTAGTCCAAAGCCTCTAGGTTTACCAAGGAGACCTAAGTGGGATACTTTGTCGAATGCCTTGCTGAGATCGATAAAAACCACGTCCGACAGATGGCTTTTATCTCTGGCCTCAACCTAGTCTTCCCTAGCCAATAGTAGGTTTGTCAGGTAGGATTGTCCTGATCGGAATCCACGCTGTTCCACAATAAACAAGCCATGTGTTTCAACAAAAGCTAATAGCTGATCCCTTATAGTAGTTTCCATCAACTTTTTAGGGGTTATTGGCATAGACGTTCGCGAACAGTACTGAGTATATAAACGCAAGATCTTATACCAAAAACGGTGACTCTAAAGAATAGCGGCCCAAACCGAAACGACCTTTGAACAAAAAAGTGACCTTGAGCAAGGGATCAGCTGACTGTATCATTTTCGGAAGTAATCATGGATGTTTTCGATTACTGTTTGGATAACGGACTCATAGCTTTGTCGAAAATTTGCCAGTGCGGAGGAGTTATGCATATACAAATATAAGCAGAGGCCATTGATGGCTTTGTATACAGATGTATTGAGTGCCAAAGGAGGAAATCCGTTCGAGATGGTTTGTCGTTGTTTTTTTAGATTCAGATTTATTGGTTGAGGATAGGAGGCTTGCAGCCTATGTTAATCCTTTTCTAGTAGATTTCTGTGGTTGTCCAAACCCTTCTTGAACGAATCAGTTAGGTTGCAGACACCACTTCTTCTGGGAGTCGGTTCCAAGAGTCTATGACTCGATGTGAGAACCAGTACTCAACAGCAATATGATTTCTCCTTGGCTTTTGAACTCTCCTGCTATATCCTCTAAGGTGTTCCGACCTGGTGGGAAGGAAAAGAGAGAATATGTCAGGTCCATGGTCATTATTTAAAATTTTAAACATTGTGATTAAATCTACTCTCTGCCTACGATATGACAGTGGGAAGAGATTTAAACTGTCTAGTCTTTCCTCGTATGATACGTTAACTATGCCGTGAACCATGCGTGCTGTCTTCCTTTGAACCCTTTCTAAAATGTGTGAGTCCCCTTTTAGACAAGGATTGGCGGCCTGGATGCAGTTTTCCAAGCTTGACCTCACCAGAGATGTATATAAGGAGGTGAACATATCTCTGGGGATTCTAGTAAAGGCTCTGAGAATTGCCCATAAGGACCTGAAACTACGTGCAGCCACCGCGCGACAGTGTGCTGTAGTTTTTAAGTCGTGGCTAACTATGACACCTAAGTCCAAGTGAGTATGAACTGATGAAAGTGTTATTCCCTCTAATTCGTAGGAGCTTGTGCTTGCTTGTCCGATGCGCATGGTTGCACATTTTGCCATATTGACCGGGAGCATCCATTCAACAGACCACTCCGACAGTTTGTTGAGGTCGTCTTGCAAGGTGGACGTATCACTGTTGCCCTTCAGCTCCCTCCAAATTTTTAAGTCATCTGCGTATAGGACCATAGGGAGTCGGTGAGCAGAGGTAACTCATTGATATACAGAATAAAAACGAGAGGACCGAGAACCGTGCCTTGTGGCACTCCGCTACTTACTGCTGTCCAGGAGGAGAGTTTTGAGTTGATCCTAACCCTCTGCCTCCTATCTATGAGGAATTCCCTGAGCCAGTCTAGTAGTCTCCCTTTGATACCAAGACTTTCCAATTTCATGAGTAGTCTTTTGTGAGGTAATTTATCAAAGGTGTCAATGGAGTTGAAGATTGAACGATCAATTCATTGTTGTTTGTTCAAATTCAACTTCCCCAATTTTCGCGGAGGCATAAATACGACAGTCATCGTCTCATCGGTCGCTGTTCAGAAAGAAGAGTGAAACATCGTCAGAAACCTTAGTTCGCTTATTCTTTTTATATGTTGGTGTAACAATGAAGAAATATCAAACGGCAGATCGGTGTTTTGGTTTTTACGTCCGTTATAACTAGGCGTTTCTGAAATCTTCGAAGAACAGCGTGGGTCCGAGCGTAGCGAGAGCTGGGCATTAACGGTCTATGAGACGTGATTGACAAAAGGCTTTACTGAAGTCTATGAAGACGACGTCAACGGGTCTTCTGTTGTCTTTTGATTTGACACAGCTTTCTCTTGCAGTGAGGAGATTTGACAGGCATGAGAGGTTCCTCCGGAAGCCATGCTGTGCTCCAGATAACAAGCTGCTATTTTCCAGATATACCATGACGCTTTTCTTGATAATTATTTCCAGTGTCTTGATTAAAGTGCTGGTGAGACTGATAGGCCTGTAATTTGAAGGGCTTTGTCTTGATCCTCCTTTGTGTATGGGGGTTACTATGGTGTCTTTCCAATCACGTGGCAACACTCCATTTTGGAGAGAGCTTGAAGATCGTGGTCAAGGGGCCGGCTATGTGGGCTGATAGCTCCTTGAGAAGCCTTGGATGAAGACTGTCAGGACCCATTGATTTTCCTGCATCTAGTTTCATTAAGAAGTTGAGCACAGTGCCTTGGTCGATGTCAACGGAATCTATCCCGTATTCCTCTGATGCAGCCAGAGCTGATCCTGTAGGGAGTGATGACTCCTGAGTGAAGACTTGGGAGAAGTAGTTTGCCATTGCTTCTGCTTTTTCTTGATCTTCTTCGATTGTATCATTGCCAATAATCAGGTGTGGGACACCATTGGATGTTTTATTCCTGAAATTCATGTACGAGAAAATTTTCATGGGTTGCGCCTTGGTCGTGAAGGAAAAAAGGGTTAGATCCCTTTTTTGCCGGGGAGTGTCAATGGAGTTGAAGATTGAACGATCAATTCATTGTTGTTTGTTCAAATTCAACTTCCCCAATTTTCGCGGAGGCATTATTACGACAGTCATCGTCTCATCGGTCGCTGTTCAGAAAGAAGAGTGAAACATCGTCAGAAATCTTACAGTTTACAGTTTACAATTTATTTAGGATAGTAGGCTATATGCCTGTGTTAATCCTTTCGATTTATTTCATACAGGAGGTCCAATCTCGCCTTGAATGAATCAACGGATGGCGCTGATACGACATGTTCCGGTAGGGAGTTCCAATGGTTCACAATTCGATGCGAAAAACGGATTTCCAGACGCAGACGATTCGACCGTGGTTTTTGAACCTTGAGGTGATGTCCTCGCAATTGGTTGGTGCTAGAAGGAAGAAATAATTTAGATAAATTAGCTCCAAAATCATTTCTTAGGATACGGTATGCTAGTATTAGGTCACCCCTAAGTCGTCTGTATGACAGTGGAAATAAACCCAGTCGACTTAACCTCTCCTCATATGACAGGGTTGAGAAACCCTTTATTAGCTTAGTTCCTACTCTTTGCACCCTTTCTAATAAGTCTATTTCGTATTTGAAACACGGGCTCGCTGCCTGGATCCCATATTCCAAATGAGGTCTGATATAAGTCGGATATAATATACGAAATATATCAGCGTCAAAGTTCGCAAAAGCCTTGCGTATGGCCCATAACATTCTAAAACCCTTAGTGGCTGCAGTTCTACAGTTTGTTGCTGTTTTCAAGTCATGCTGCACAACCACTCCCAAGTCCTTGTACTCAGTGACCACTGGGAGAGTAATGCCATTCATTGAGTAATTGTGCACGTGACTATGGGATACATGCATAACTACACTCTTGCTTAAGTTAATCTCCAAGGCCCAGCGCTTACACCAATCACTTAACAAGTTTAAATCTTCCTGCAAAGCAAGTTGATCACTGTCATCGTGCAAAGCCCTCCATATCTTGATGTCATCAGCAAACAGTAAGCAGGATGACTTAACTACCGATGGAATCTCATTAACATAAATCAGGAAAAGAAGTGGGCCTAGAATTGTACCCTGAGGAACGCCACTCTTAACCGATTCCCATGTTGATAAAACCCCGTTAACTCGTACTCTTTGTCTTCTGTCCTTTAGAAAGTCTTGAATCCAGTCGGTAACCACTTTATTGATTCCCAGACTACCTAACTTTACTAGAAGACCTGAATGAGAAACCCTGTCAAACGCCTTGCTAAGGTCTATGAATATGGCATCCACCGGTATATTAGCATCAGCTGAGCTTGCCCAACTTTCTCTGGCCAAAAGAAGGTTGGTCAAGCAAGAATGACCTGCTCTAAAACCGTGCTGTTCCACAGCGAAAAGTTTGTTCCCTTCAATGAACTGAATGATAGCATCACGAATTATTCTTTCTAGTAGTTTAACAACAATACTGGTCAAACTAACAGGACGATAGTTCTGAACTAAGTTTCTAGATCCGGTTTTGAAGACCGGACTAATGATGGCATCTTTCCAGTCTCTTGGACATTTAGACTGGTCCAGAGACATATTGAAGATTACCGACAATGGCTCGGCTATGCTTTCAGCCAATGCTGTTAATATACGTGGGTGGAGTTCATCAGGGCCACTGGACTTACCAGGATTGAGCCTTAGAAGCCACTTTAGGACAGTATCCTTTCCAATGTATAAGGGTGCCATTTTCAAGTTACCTTCTGGAAAATTTACAAAGCTGGTATCAATATTATCAGAGAATACTTGACTAAAGTGCTTGGACAAAGCCTCAGCCTTGGTCAAGTTATCCTCAGCCATGTTTGTCTGGTCATCTTCAAGCATAAGAGGTGGGATAGCATCACTCTTACGTGTTCTTCTCTTGATATATGAGAAGAGTCTTTTTGGGCAGCCTGGTGAACTTTTAACTAACTGGGTTTCGTAAGCTATCCTTGACTGGTGGATCAAAGTTTTACACTGGTTTCTGGTTTCACAGTATTTCAGCCGGAACTGCTGTAGCCCAGTAGAAACAAAGAGATTCCAGAACCTTTTTCTCCGTCTCAGGAGTGTTATAGCTTGTCTATTTATCCATGGTGGCCGATTTGTTGGCCTTTTAGGAACCCTCCAGGGGATGAGATCAGTGGTAACCCTCTCAAGTGTATTCTTAAATCTATCCCATTCATCTTCAATGGATGAGACAATGTTGACTGACCAGTCGGCAGTTGAAGCACGCTCCTTTATAGCCACTATGTCAGCATGCCAAACACTAGGCCGGGATTTGGGTTGAAAACTGACTAAATTGCCAGCCCTTAAGTTAAAATCTAACACCCCATGATCACTGTTTGCTAGAGGTGGATGAATAACTAGACCATCCACGTCGTCGTTGTCATGAGTAAGCACTAAGTCCAGCAAGGAAGATCCTTGGGTAGAACCGAATCTTGTACTACCTAAGACATGTTGTGTCAGGGCATTTTCCATGGTTGTCAAGAGTAACCGGCTGTCAAACTTATCAGCGGATCCTGGAGATGTGACAGCTACCCAGTCTATATGAGGTGCATTAAAATCACCTAGAATAAGACAGCTACTGTGTTTACTCCATTGTTTGAGGTGATCTAAAATGAAGTCATCACACTGACAATAGGGACTTCTATACAGAACTCCAATGAGTAGAGTGCCGGTTGCAAAGCTTACTTCACAGCTAATTACCTCACCTGTCCCACTGTCATGAGCTTCAGATTTCACGGAACGAACATGTAGGGAGTTGTTGATGTACAGAGCAACCCCGCCACCTCTACGACCCTTAACTCTGTCGCTGCGCAAGCAACTAAATCCGCATAGCTCAGGTGTGTCATCTAATCCCGAAACCAGCCATGTTTCAGTAATGGCCACAATACCTGGGCTAAGGTCTTCTACTAATACACCTAGCTCGTGAAATTTGTTCCCGATACTACGTATATTAGTGTACACTACCTTCAGGCTTCCTATGCGGTCTGGCCTATCCACACAGGTCTTGGAAGCATACGTTTCCAAGACCTGACTATTTGAAAACCCACCAGTTTAAGGTTAGTCTCACCATTTTTGCGTCTTGTTTCTAGCTGGGACAAAACTTCTTTTCGTTTAAGTCTGTCTTCAAGAGATAAATCAGGTCTGGCTGAAATTCCTGACCCGGCAAGGTTGTGTACATTAGCCAGTAGATGATTCCGTTCATCAGGAGAACCTAAGACTACTTTAAGCAACCTACGCTGATTAGAACATTCATCATCTCTTTTGCCTATTCTAATCAGCTTTTTAATCGATACTCCAGGGAAATTCGCTGGGAGCATCTTCCTTATAATACTACTCACTAATTTAAGGTCGTGATCGTGCCTTTTCACGGGATCAGATTCTTTGGACTCTTCCAAATTTCCAACAATTATGTTAGAGTCTAAGGAGAGCTTGTCGTATTTAGCAGTGGCTACGTCCTTTCTCACCACTATTGATGCAGCCTGGCTACAGGTGACAGACGTTTGCCTACCATCAATATTACTATATTTCTTTCGACTGCTTATTTTTGTTACCCATTTATCATCTGCCTGCAGTTGCTTCTCAGGGCTGCTGCAGTTTTTGATGGTACAATCAAGATCAGTGTCTGCGCCACCTTCATGGTGAACTTCGCTTACGGTGTTCTCTGGTTCTGAGGTGCTGTTTACAGCTTCCGTTTTTTACCTTTTCGCTTACTAAGACGCTTCGAACGCCTAGTAGGTTTTACTTCCGGGGTAACTGGGATAGTAACCGCCGGTGTGATAACATTCATGATGGCACTTACTGCTTCATCTTCAGACGGGCAGTCCGTGTCACTCTTACTAGCCACGCTATCATCAGGAAGTTCCATGGCTTTAGAGAGCAGTTCGTGAGCCTCCCTTATTAAGGTCATCTTTGGAGAGCAACACATTCTGCACATCCAGTGGGATGTTGGAGCAGTACAGCGTTTGTATGCAGCTGGACGTAATCCAGTACACATCTTATGATACCATTTTTCACAGTTATTACACTGTATTCCATCATCTACCAAAAAGTAACACTCCGCCCTATTACATTTATGTGGTACTTTTGACATCATGAAATTCTACTGGAAACAGCCAAGACAATTTACCCAATATAGAATATATAAGTGGTTAAAATCAAAACTTAACAGACAAAAGTCAAGTTAAAGTTTTTTTTAAATGTTCTTGAAGTGAATAACACAACAAAACAGCGATTTGTCAAAAACGTGAAATACGTGAAAAAAGCACTCCCTTTCAAACAGCGCGCGAGTTGAAGAGTTCGTTTATTCTTTTTATATGTTGGTGTAACAATAAAGATTTCTCGAGTGGCCAATCGGGCTTTTGGTTTTTTCGTCCGTTATTACTAATCGTTTCTGAAAAACTGCAAGGAACAGCGTGGGTCCGAGCGTAGCGAGAGCTGGGCATTAACGGTTTATGAGACGTGATTGAGAGTTTCTGACGGTAGAAACAGATTCTGGCGGATTCAGACAGTCGGTGACAGTTTGGATAGTCACCGTTCATCTTTCCTGGTGCCGGTCAAGTCCTCTTTGAACAAGCAATATCTGGAACGTTTTTGGAATTGGGTCAAGTTCAACAATGCCTGGGTCAAAGAAGGGACAGAGTGTCTTGGATACAAACAGGAAAGTAAGTCATTGTGACTTGTCTGTTAATTGTAACGATGTGTCTGATGTTAAGCATGACATGGTTGATGTTACTGTTTCGCCGTTCAGGGATAATAGGAACATCAAACTCCCTAAATTTGAACCACGGCGCTTCGATAGAAACCCGGCTGATTATTTACAATTTGTAAAGGAGTTTGAGATCATGCTGAGTAGTTTTCTATTAAGTGATGAATTGAAGTTAATGTATTTGATGAGGTATTGCACTGGAGATGCCGCAAGAGCTATACAGTGCTGTAAGTTTATGAAGCCAAAAGAGGGCTACTACG